TCCCTTGTAGGTAATCTTTTTTCCTAGACTGTCCTCAAGGATTCTTTCCTTGTCTTTGATTTTGCAAAGTTTGATTATGATATGTCTTGGTAATTTTCTGTTGGAATCTATCCTGTTCAGCTTCTTATATGCTTATCTTCTCATCTTTCATGATGTTAGGGAAGTTTTCTTCCAACAACTCTTTCACAATTTTCTCTGTGCTTTTTATTCTATTCTTCCTGTTCTGGAATATTCCAATCACCCATAAGTTGTTCCTCTTCATGGTGTCTCACATAACTCTTAGGCTTTCTTTGGATTTTTTTCTTTCTCTTCTCTGATTTTTCTTGTTGTTGTTGTTAGGTGCCATCAAGTCGGTACCAACTCATAGCAACCTTATGTACAGCAGAATGAAACACTGCCCGATCCTGGGCCAACATTATTGTTGCCACACTTGAGTCCATCGATGCTGCCACTTGGCCAATCCATCTGATTGGGGGTCTTCCTCTTTTTCTTCTAGCACACTAATATGGAGAGATTTATCTTCAAGTTCACTAATTCAGGCTTCGATTGCTTCAAATCTTCTCCTTTGTCCTTTCAATGCATTGGGTCACAAGGTCAGTTTGAACTAGGTCGACAGTTCAAACTCACCAGCCTCTCCTCGGGAACCCTATACAAGGTCGTTATGAGTCAGAACCAAGTCAACAGCACTTAACAACAGTAACAAGTATTAATCTTCTGGATTTCTAGTTGCAGATTTTGTATTGTTTCAAAATTTGCATTTGTTTTATCTGTTTGTTCTTGTAGTGTTTTCCTGAATTCTTCTATTTTCAGTATTCTCCTTGCTTTCCTTAATCTTTCTGTCAATCCATTGAGGGTACCAAAATATCATTCTTATGAATTATTTTTCAGTTAGTTCCATTACCTTTTCTTTCCCCCTCAGACATGTTTTCTGTCTATGCATCTTGATTATTTGTTTGAGCCATTCTCTCATTTCTTCGTGTGAGGTAAATTTGCTGTCTCACAGCGTTTTGTGGTTGTTATATTTGTAAAAAAACAAAGAGTGTAGTTGTTGTACTTGGAGGGAAGAGATCTTTGGTGGGCTCCTGCAATTCAAAGTGCTCACATGGTGGTTGTGGAAGGGAGGAGACAGCAGAGTTCCTGGCCCTAGATGAAGTTTCTATTGGCCTCAGTGGTATGTATGTTCATGACACTCAATCTGGAAGTAGTTGGTGGGGGCCCTTGATTGAGCTGGTTTCAGTATCTGTAGGGCCACAGGAAAGCTGGGGGCAGAGTAACTGGTTCAGTAGCTGGTCTGGTGGCTCTGTGGGCTTTGTAGGTCTGGAGCCAAGCCCACCTGAATCTAGGCACCAAAGTGGCACACCAAAGTGGGGTAGTCAGTCCCCAGGTCACGCTGGCATGACTCCCAACCACATGACTCCAAACTCCTGGAGAACAGGGGGTAAATGAAGGTGGGAGCTCACCATACTTCTGGTCACCAGGGAAACATGGGGAAAAGAAGAAATCAAATCTTTCCTGTCACCCACAGAAATCTGCTCGGCCAGGCCTCCCTGAGCTGTAAAAACTGCTCACAAGATACTAGAGCTGGCAACCCGTTGTCTGTCTCTGTCCCTGCTCAGCCTCTCTTCCTGAGAAGCACTTCATCCACCTCTCATCTTCTGAAGTTCATGGTGCCAGAATTTATATGTTTTATTTGGTCTCTCGTATCGTATCTTTATTTTCGAGAGTTGTGTAGCGCATCTGTCTAGTCCACCATGTTGCAGGAAGTCTCTTTTAACTTTTTATTGTGAAATGAGTGAAGATTTAAAGACAAGATCATCAGTTTCACATTCAACAAATCATAGTTTCAGCTCAATGATTGCAATACCATGCGAGAACGGTTACCCAACTTTCTCCCTGTGGTTCTTATTTCCGTTCTACTCACCTTCCCAACTGTCCTGAAGTAAACGTTGCTGTTTTGACTTTGAAAGACTGATTACCCCATAATGAGCATATCTCACTAGTGTTGCTGTCTCCCCTATGGATCTATCTACTGCTTGGCTGAAAATTGGACTACGAGGGTGAGTTCCTGTCCAGAACTGACAGGTATTCAAGGGCCAGAGTCTGTTTCCTATGGTCTTTTTCTCATTAGTAAACCTGGTGTGTTTTTTCAAATAATTTTTGGTTTTGATTCACATTTTTCCCCACTCTATCTGGGATCTTTTAATGTGATCCCTTTCAAAGTGGTTGATAGTGGTAATTAACCACCATCTAGTTCTTTTGGTCTGAGAGTCATAAAACATGTTCACATGTTCCTTTAGGCTGCTTAACTATTCTAAGCATCTTCAATTCTCATCACTTCTGCACTTGGAGAGTCCAATAGCTGCACCTTAGATGGCCATTCATGAACCCAGACGTGACTCACCAAAGTAGAATATTGTCTTTGTGGACAATGTTATGTCAAAGTATCCTTTGAGACTAAAATATCCTTTCAAACCCTTATTAATTTGTGGGTATACTCCCACTCTCCCTCCTATAACCATTCAGCCTGTATCTCTGTCCATGAATCTACCTGTAGAACACGGTTGTTCCAAAGTTGTGTATATACAACACCATCACCTCCATCCCCTTTAGCCCTTGCATACCTCCCAGTGTTATCACCTCTCTTCATCATTCTTCTGCCAACCTTCCCCTTCTTGTAGATTGCCTTGTCATCCGAGTTAACGTGTCTGTGGGTTAATCCGGGACTGCAAAAATAATTTGAACTGCAAGGCCTGTGGTTCAAGCTCAACACCTGCTCCTTGGAAACCCTATACAGGGACACTATGGGTCAGAACCCTCTAACCAGTGAATTACTCCCCCTTCCCTCCCACCCATAGTAACCATCAAAGAATGTTTTTTAGTATGAAAACAGTGGTCTCATACAATATTTGTCCTTTTGTGACTAATTTCACTCAGCATAATGTGCTCCAGGTTCATTCATGTTATAAGGTGTTTCAGATACACCTTTATTCTTCAGTGTTGCATAGTATTCCATTGTGTGTATATACCAAAGTTTGTTGATCTACTCTGTGATGAGCATTTAGGCTGTCTCTATTTTTTTGCTATTGTGAATAGTACTGCAATGAACATCTATGTAAATGTATCTACTCAGATCCTGGCTCTCATTTCTTGAGGATAGATGCCAAGTAGAGAGATTGCTGGGTTACAAGGTATTTCTATTTCTAACTTTGTGAGGAAGCATCATCCCTTTTTCCACAGTGGTTGTACCATTTTACAATCCCAGCAGCAGTGAAGGAAGCCCCAGTCTCTCTACATCCTCACCAGCCTTTGTTTATTGTTTTAACTTTGCTATAAATGCTGGAGTCCTGGTGTAGTGCTGTGGGTTAATGTGCTGGACTGCAAGGTCTGTTTGAACCACAAAGTCGGCAGTTCAAGCTCACCAGCTACTCCTCAGAAACCCTATACAGGGTCCTCATGAGTCAGAATTGACTCCACGGCACTTAACATTAATGCTGGGGTGAGATATCTAGAAGGACTCCATAAACCTAATGGTGGTGGTGTCCCTGTGGAGTCCTTTCTGACTCATAGCGACCCTGCATAGGTTTCTGAGGCTGTCAATCTTGACAGGAGCAGAAGCCCCATCTTTCTCCTGAGGAACAGCTGGTAGTTTCAAGCTGCTGACCTTGAGGCTAGCAGCCCAGCTTGTCACCACTATGGTACCAGAGTTCCTCATAAGCCTAAAAATCCCTTTATAAGATCATATTTTTCTTCTGATATGGACTTTGTTCTAGAGCAAAGTCCAGCACTATAGGGTAAGTTCTGAATGCTAACCATTCTCCCAGCTCGGCAGTTCAAACCTACCAGTTGCTCTCCTCAGAAACCCTATACAGAGCCACTTACTATGAGTTGAAAATGACTTGATGGCACTTAACAACAAGTCATTATGCTTCTTGCTTAATTTGTTTGTGATGCTCGATCCATGTTTCAATGGGGACAGGCAAAAAGCATTAAAACTTCCAACTGATTTCAAATAACATTCACAATCATGTTTTGTTTTTAAATAAACCTTTATTTTGAAAAGTCAACAAAAATATATAATAATCACGCATTTTACATAATGCGTACATTCTTAGTATCTGCAGGTAAGATGAACAATGGAAGGCAAAAGCAGATATACTCTATTGCTTCTCTTTGGCAAGTCACCAGTACCATCCCCTGCAGAATCAGAATACGTGTAAAAAATAAAATAAAATAAAACAAACAAAAACCCAGGATCTTAAAATAATTATTCTATAGTACAAACCAAATATTTAGCAGTAACACAGTAAATGGACTTTCAAATTGACTAAAATATGTAATACTTTATACCACAGGGGTTAAAGTAGCAGGTTGCTCTCCAATATTAAGGCCTGTATCAGTATTTAAAGAAAAAAAGTTTTATATATATATATATACACATACACACACACACACAAACATATACGTATATATATACTGCTTTTATTAGTCATATCCTGGCTCTGGTCTGTGTTTAATAATGTCACATTCAAACTCCCCCTTCTCAGATGCCATTTCTAAGTAAAACAAAATTACTCCCCTAGACAAAAATTGTGTATAACATGCAGTCATATACACATTTAGTATGAAGCAACCTAGCTTTCTTATCAGTATTTACCATCTACTCAGTATCCCAGAATAAAACAAATTCCTTCCACTTCACAGCAAAGATAGATATTGTGGTTCGATTGAAGCAATATATACGTGTCAGATATTAAAATTAGAAAAGCAAAAGGAGAGTCCATTCACCACATAGCAGCTTATATCTAAATATATACATGTATGGAGGTCTTCACACATTCCTCCTATATAGTCTAATAAATATTATTTTAAAACCTCAACTGATCATACAAGAACATATCAAGTAAATCTTTAACCCTTTAAAAACATACTTGAAGTCAGTAGAACTTGAGGTCTGAGTAAAGTATATTGTTTGTCCCTCCTATTAGGGAATGCAGTGTCTTCTAAATATAATAGGAAAGAAACTCTAAAACTTTGGAAGGAACTGGCAGCTTCTGAACTTCTTGGGTGGTCATCACTCTCCGGACTGACATACGACACAAATGTTGAAGGCTAGGAACTTGCCTTGGAGTGGCCCAAAAATACACACTTCCATCATGTGTCCTAAATGGAAACAAAAACCCCAAACTCAGCCACTCCAGCATGCCTTGGAGACTCCTGGTGACACTGGAGGATCAGCACTGGACTGCTAACTGCAAGGTCGGTGGTTCAAACCCACCAGCCCCTCCTGGGAAACCCTATAGAGAGTGGCTATGAGTTGTACATGACTAGAGCAAACATAACAGTAACAATGCAGCAGCCTTAGTGACGAGTGTTAATGTGTGCACATCTGCTCACTGAAAGGTCAGGGCCCTCGTGGGAGTAAAGGAGCAGCAGTCAGCTTCTATAAGGCTTACAGCCTTGGAAGAAAAGAGCTAACTATTACTCAAGGCTGTGATTAGATTCACAAATTTCTCATTAAAACTTACTAAAGAGACCTAAGCACTGGTATTATAAATGTTACTATGAGAGAATTTACTGAGAATAAAAGCCTTTTAAAAGAAAACAGGTAACTATACTTACCCAGCAGCTAAAACACTGCCATTAGTAGAAAAAGCACAGCACAGACCATTGCTCAAAGATGCAATTTGTACTGGATATTCTTCATCAATTCTCCAGAACCTCACCATTCTGGAATGGAAATGAGCAAATAGTAGTACAGACAACATAAAAGCAACCTTTAAAATTCAGAAAGAACTCTCTCTCTCACACACAGCACTGTAGCAGGCAATTACTGTTGAGTATTTCACAGTCTAGCTGTCACTTGCTAACTTGGTCTTATGTCTATATTTTTATATAGGCTGTCTCTGGATTATGAACAAGTTCCATTGCTAAACCTGTCTTCACTTCCAGATACCATCATAACAATGTTCTGATGCATGTTGCAAAGTAGTACCCATTTGTTATTACAAACCATTGTGTGAACCTCAAATTGTTAATATAACAGGCTTTATGCAAGTCGGACATTGGTAAACCCAGGACTGCCTGTATTTAAAACACAAATTCAAGACAACAAATAAAGTGCTTTCAGCCAGGCAAGTGCATCTAGGCACACAGCAGAGTACTGATGTTCAGAAGTGACCTAAGCAAACAGGAAACAATATTGTTGTTAGACACCATTGAGCTGGTACCGACTCAGTGACCTTATGCACAACAGAATGAAGCACTGCCCAATCCTGGGCCAACCTCACAATCGTTGCCAAACTTGAGCCCATTAATGCTGCCATTGTGCCAATCCATCTCACTGGGGGACAAAAACAAAACAAAAAAAACTCCCCTTATGTTAACTAGCTTTCTGGTAAGAAGAGATTTTTCTGAACTGAAGTTACCACACCACTTAATCCTATATTCATGCACACTGTATGATAAACCCTTGAGATCCTTACCAATAAACCACAAATCTACTCAGGACATTTTATACAACAGGGGGGAAAATCTCTTTGAGCAAAACCAAAAGCTAATTAAAATATACCAAAGTTTGCCTAAACTAAGTAACACAGGAAAAGGCATGTATTATCTTTGGTTTCTATAGATATTATTTAGACTAATATATTTTAAGACACACCAAAATCTTTCTAGTCCTCATCTAGAGAAAGAGACATTAAAACCCAAATTAAAGACAGGTTATTTTGAAGCTTGAGAGTTATTTTCATTAAAATAATATGTCAAACTATAATTCATCCACTCACTTATCATCAGCAAGGCTTGCAATATGCAGTCCATCATGACTAAAAGACACAGCACGCACCCATCGGTCATTTGCTCCACCAGCAAATATTGGAGTAGGAGGGGGAAACAGGTGCCTGTGGACAAATACATGGCTTCAGTTTACGTAAGGGTCACTTCAAGAAACAAAACTACACAGGGACAAAGTACTTTTGTCTTTACATAAGGTTTAAAGTGGACTGAGCTAACACAACTAAGAAGATTGAACAGACCTGACATATTCTAACAAAACAAAAGGGGCCTTTGAAATAGTTACAAATCTCTTTTTTTACAATGTGGTTTAAGACACTAAGGTTAACTATTAGTTTGGGTTCAACGTTGGTTTTAACTATTTGTTCAACATGAAAATACTAGAGATCTCTTAAACTCTAAATATTTTCAATTACTGCTTTTCCAGAAGCATGTACAGTTAAAAATGATTTGAATCCTTTACCCAACTTCTTAAGAAGTTATACTAATAGCCAAAGATGAATTACAGACTAAAATCATTTATGCTGTACCCACCCAAATTCCATGAGAATGTCTCCAGTATATGGGTCCCATATATAGACTCGAGTATCATACGATGCAGTAGCCAGCAATGCTCCATCAGGAGAAAAGTCACAAGCTACAACATCATGGTGATGGCCTTCTAGTTTTCGTATCATGGTATATTTGTCCATATTCCAAAGGAAAACCTGCAATAAAAAGGCAGTGTTATAGCTTCATTTAAACACACAGAGGAAAAAAAAAAAGCCACATTTTTAACTAAAACTGCTATCTTTAATTAAGATTAAATTATAAATTAAACATTTTAAAATTATGAATAATTAAAAGAATATGCTCAGTGTCATAGATTAAAATCAGTCTTTAAGTTAATTAAAACAGACATGCAAATTCTATTTCAAGTGTTTTCTGTTAAATGTTAATTAAAAAATAGGCCTAAACACAAAGTAAAAGCAATGCAATTTAACCACGAAGTTATACTGAAATCCATTTATTCCAAAAACTAATTAAAATATACAGAAATAAATAGGGTTAAGTATTACAAACCCCCTTTTTTTTTTAATTCGTTTTTCCGGAAACTACCAAAAATTTAAAAAATATACAGACAGAAAATGTAAGGTTAACAAATTGTTACTCCATTGGCATCTCCTTTGAGATAATCACTTGTTTACAATAGGCTTGGGTCACCAACGTGAGCCTAGGAAGAGAAACAGATACTGCAAGCAAAGAGAATTTTCACAGCCAAATGAAATTTTTTTGGTAAACAAGGATGTTAAACCACATTACAAAATGAAAATGCTATCTTATGAAAATCATACAATCACATTTCTTGAATCAAAATTTACAAATCTAAATTTTTCCCAAACTGACCATAGTATTAGTCATTTTAAGTATAAAACATTTAAATTATGTGACAAGTTTACATGTAATTTTAGATTCAAAGCTCAGCAATTAGACTGTGCAGAATAACTCTCAGTAGGACTTCATTTATATTTCAGTCGGTTATAAATTAAATGTGAGCTTTGGAGGTTTATAAACAATCCATATAACACAATCTCTCCTCCTCTTGCAGTAAAGCAATTCTTTTTGCTACATTTTTTTTTCTGCACAAACACAATATATTACTTCTACAGAAAAATATGTACAAATTTTAAACTGAATCAAATACTTAAGGTATCTCTAGCACCTCAAACAATTCCGAAAAATAGTACAGAGAAACCATTTAAAAGCCAACTGCTTTATATTAAATTGGTTTCACTTGTCAGACTCCCAATTCCATCACACTGGAAGATAAACTTACTCAGAGAGTCATTTCACTGAGGGGAAAATTATTTTAAAAAAGATAAAAAGAAAGAAAGAAAAGCAGAAAGTGGACATCGACCAGCACCTGTGTACGTACAGTACACCTTGCAGCCGAATGCAAGGTTACTTCATCCTATGGTAAAGGTCGCCCCCAGCCCGGTAGCCAGAGATGCCACTCTTTCTGCCCAGCTAACACCATTGTGCGCCTGTGTGCGAGTGGTGCCAGCATACCCTCAATCACACCAATATTGCTGCCACCACCTGTGACAGGGAAAGCAAGAAGCATATGGAAAACACACAGCCTAAAATAGCAATGTCAACATCTAGCTTTGTTCTGCCTAGGATTTTCACATGAACTAGACTAGGTATTTTCTTCTAAAAGCCCAACATCTGCAACTACCTTTTTAACATACTTCTTAGCTAAATAAACGCATTTCACCAGCCTCCCAACCCCTTCTCACTCAAAGTATAAATCAACACACGGATTTGGATATTAACTATTTTCATAAAACTTGAAGTTAATAAGATCTTTTTATATAATTAAAAGCTGGTAAACAACTAAAAGACTCAGTCAATAATACGCAAAACACTCTTAAGAGTCATTTACTGAAGCTGACTACAGGTACGCTATGTAAGACAGACAGTATCAAATTTCATCTATAATTCATTCTAGGACATACATAAGTGCTATTTTTATTTTTATTAAGTTTTTTACTTTTTTTATTTTTATTTTTATTTTTCAGTAAAATGTCCAGGACCAGCTGGGACTCAAAACTTTAAAATCAGCAAACTGGACAGAAAAATAGAACAGAGAAAATAATTAGCAAGGGAATGTCTTAACATTTGGACTAATCTTTTCTATAGCATTAAACTTCCTAGATCTTATAAAAAATAAATTTGACATACCCTTCATTTTATATTATCTCTAACTAAAATAGCAATCCAATTATTCATTTCATGAACAGTAACTATATTAAATTAATTTCCTTCATGCAAATTCTCCCCATCATGAAATAAAACATTTAAGATATTCAGGACACCGAGCACAGATTTAAATAGGTTACTTAGATTTAAAATGATTATACACACATTATTATAATTCAAGTCACAATGAGTGTACAAGAACTTTGATACATACTGCTTTACTGGCGCCAACTGAACACATCATAGACGAATCAGGAGAAAATGCACAGCTGTACACCCAGTTCGGATGCCCCCTCAATACTTTCATCATGTTTCCTGAACAACAACAAAAAAAATCCGTTAACTCTAGAATCCATTTCAGAAGAGTATCATATTTCAAAAGGACAATAAATCTGACTCACAAACTTCTACAGTTGCCATGATTTATCTAGCATATTATTTATTACAGAGGCTGGCAATCTACAGCAATGCCTACTTTTATAAAGTTTAACTAAAACACAGCTATGCCTGTTTACTTATATAAATACTGCCTATGGCTGCTTTTGCATTATAAAGGCAGAGTTAAGTAACTACACAAATAATTTATAGCATGGTCCAAAACTACGCTTAACTCTTTAATTTTACGAATATTTACTGAGATTCTACTAAATGCCAGGCACTGTTCCAAGCACCAAGGACACAACTGAGAGTAAGACAAAATCACTACACCTCTTTTGATGCTTAAAACACATGTACAACTGAAAATATGTTCAGTACATTGGCAATGTTAGCTGATTATTTTGTCACACAGTGGTTAGTACTCATCAGTCAGCTAAACAATTCTCCAAATCTGAGGGGTTTGTTTCTAACTATAATTTAAGCTACATTATCTCTGAGTAAGTCTATAAACCTCCAGGTTAATCTGTTAAGAGTACATCTCGTTTAAATATAAAGTTTTAGTTAAAAATGTGAACTATTTTATAGTTAGGTACGTCAAGTCAGTTCTGACTCATAGCAACCCTATATATGATTTCCAAGGAGTAGCTGGTTGGTTTGAAATGCTGACCTTGTGGTTTAATTTACAGTGCTGATCCTACAGTGCCACACCAGTAGTCTAGAAACTATTTTATTAGTGGCTCTTAAAAAATATAAACTCTGATAAGGGGAAGAGATGTTCATCTCTGGTTCCCTCAAAGTAGCCTCCCAAATCTTTATAAGCATCACAGCTATTTCTTAGCATTTTGTTGTAAATTAGGTTTTATTTTTATTAGATTATGAAATGACATCTCTTTGTTATTTCTAGGTCTACTTAAATTTGATCTAGATTTTGGCTTCAAATAGCTGATCTAGATCTGTATATTTAATTTCTGAATAATATCAGATTGTTTACTTAGAGTAACTGCTGGCTCCTATTCTATGTCACATTTATTTTGCTTGATCTGTGTTGGAAAAGGGACCAAAGGATTAAGCAGAGAAAAGGAAATTTTGATCATATGCCACTTATAAATGCCTCAGATGATCCCAACAACTCTTCTTAATAAATAGTGATATCAAAGAACAAATCCTTTTTTATAGCCTAGGAAAGGACATACCGTCATCTTTCAGGTCCCATACTCTCAGAGTTTTGTCTCTTGAAGCTGATACCAGGATCAAGCTCCCATCTGGAGCAAAAGTTAAATCTCTGACCACTTCTGTATGGTCTACCAAGTTAAGGAGGAGTTTTCCTAAAATGCAATAGGAGAGTTCAAAAAAAAAGGACAATGTTAATGTAGATTCAGATTAACTATTTACATTGTTTTAAAATGGATGCTTTCCATGATTTTGCTGTTGGTAAGTGTTGTCAAGTCACTTCTGAATCATAGTAACTCTGAATAAGGTTTCTAAGGAGTGGCTGGTGGGTTTGAACTGCTGACCTTCCTGTTAGCAGTCTAGTGCTTATCCTACAGTGTCACATCAGGATTCCAGTATAGCAATGCCTAAATTATTAGAAAAATGAAGAGAATTGCTGAAATATAAACAAATTCCTGGACCACGTTAATATCAAGGAAAATCCTTCATTATCATCATTTTCTAAATATTTATATAATATTTTGTTGTTAAGTTCTGTCATGTCAGTTTTGACTCATAGCAACCCTGCATAAGGTTTCTGAGAAATAGCTGGTTAACTTGAACCACTACTGACCTTATGTTTCAAAACTGAAATTGCAGTTCACAATTTAAAATTTTATTTCCTCTTCCTATACTAAAACAAATCAGGCTGCTAATCTCATGGTCAGCAGTTCAAAACTACCAGCTCTTCCACAGGAGAAAGATGAGGCTTTCTGCTCTCGTAAAGATTTACAGCCCCGGAAATTCTGTACAGGATCGCTATGAGTTGAAACTGACTCCCCGGCACATAACAACAACAACACTATTGTACTGTCAAACACCCCAAAAGACATACACTATCCCATAACAACCTTAATTCCTAAACATACCCTCTGTGACAAAATATACTTTGATGTACAATTTCTATAACACTCATTCACTTCTTCAAACTGATAAGCACATATTATTATGTCAGAAACTTTTAAGCAGTGTTTAAATATGCTGTTGTTTTTAACATTTTGTGTTTTAGGTGAAAGTTTACACAGCAAATTGGTTTCCCATTCAAGAATTCATACACAAATCATTCCATGTCAGCTGTTATCCCTTCAATGTGTCCAGTACTCTCCCATCCCCACTCTGCCTTCAACCTGTTTTCACCCTCCAATTCCCCTACCCCTGGGCTTGCCTTCTCATCTTTGGAGCAAATGTTGCCTGTTCCATATTATATAGTTGATTGTTCTAAAGTGTAGATTCTTCATGTTGTTATTAATTGCTGTTAAGTCAGTTCTGACAGCAACCCTGTATAGGGTTTCCAAGGATCACCTGGTGTGTTAGCAGTCCAGTGCTGATCCTACAGTGCCATACCAAGACTCCATATTCCTCATAGGCATTTGGCTAAAAGGTGATCTCCAGGAGTGGCTTCAATTCCAGGTAAAAACGGTGTTTCAGAAAGATCATAGTCTCAGGGAGTACTCCAGACTTTCAGTTCAGTAAGTCTGGTCTTTTTTTTTTTTAATGAATGAATTTTGTGCTATATTTTTTTCCCATTCTAATCAGGACCTTCTATTATAGCCCTAAGGGGCTCTGGTAGCGTAGTGGTTACACGGCAGTTCACACTTCCAGCTGTTCCGAGGGGGAAGGATGAGGTTTTCTGCTCCCGTAAAGATTTACAGCCTTGGAAACCCTGTGTAGGGTCACTATGAGTCGGAACCGACTCCATGGCACACAGCCACCACCATTGTATCCCTGGTCAGGGGAGTCAGTAGTGGCAACAGGAACCACCTAGTTCTTCTGGTCTCAGGACAGAGAAGTCTGTCATTCATGAGGGTCATTGTTGTTATTGTTATTAAGTGCCTTCGAGTCGATTCCAACCCAAAGTGACCCTGCTTAGGGTTTCCGAGGCTGTAAATCTTTACGCGAGCAGAAAGCCTCACCTTTCTTCGGCAGAACAGCTGGTAGTTTCAAACTGCTGACCGTGAGATTAGCAGCCCAATTTGTAACCACTACGTTACCAGAGCTCCTTATGAGGGTCATCAGGCCTGTGGAAATTGCTTTCTTGACTCTTTGGTTTCTTTGACTCTCCTTTACTCCAGATGGGAAAAGACCAATGGTTAGATGGCCACTCACAAGCTTTTTATGACTTCAGACGTTATTCACCAAACTAGAACACAGAACATTACCTTCATGAACTATGTTATGCCAATTGACATAGGTATCCCTCAAGGCTACAGTCCTCAGTCTTCAAGCCCAGTAACTCAATCTCACAGGGGCTTGGGTATGTCTAAGAGGAGTCCTGGTATGGTACTGTAGGAGAAGCACTGGGCTGCAAGGTCAGTTTGATCTGTACGGTCAGCAGTTCAAACCCACCAGCTGCTCCTTGTTGTTATTGTTAGGTGCCATCGAGTCAGCACCGACTCATAGCGACCGTATACACAACAGAATGAAACACTGCCCGATCCTGGGCCAACCTCATTACTGTTGCCACACTTGAGTCCATCAATGCTGCCACTTAACCAATCCATCTTGTTGGGGGTCTTCCTCTTTTTCTCTGACCCTCCACCTTATATAGGGCCACTATTGAGTTAGAACCAACTAGATGGCACTTAAAAGCAACAACTAGTAATTTCCATCACTCTGCCTGCTACGGCTCTATTACATACATGCATATGTAATACCCCCTGTAAGGTAAGCACTGGACTGCTAATCACAAGGTCAGAAGTTCAAACCCACCAGCTACTCCAAAGGAAAAAGATGACGTTTTCTGCTCCCATAAATATTTACAGCCTCACAAACCCTACATAGGGCACCTATGAGCTGGACTCGTATTCTTATACTCCCTCCTCACATTTACATAGCTAGATAACCACTCATAAATTTGGAGAGACAGGCTTGCTTTGAAAGCCCCTAAAGCTATCAATCACTGAAAATGTTAAGAACACACCTTACAAGTCAGAGAATTAATACATTACCAGTCAATATGTGGTAACTAGTCCCTAGATATCGCCAGCTAAATTCTCTCTCTTTTTAAATTAGTTCTTTAGATTTATAACCCACAGTCTACAGCCATGTGAGTATAATTTCATGAAGGCATCAAGGTGATTTAGAACTTCTGAAAATAATTCTTCCCCTTCTCTTCACGTTTTCACTCAACTAGATAGACAATACACTCAATTTTTTAAAAAATCTAAGCAAAATAAAAATTACTCCTGAATTCTGTAAAGAATTCCTAAAAACTTGAATGTTCCAACTTCAACTTAGTATTAGTTTGGCTCATTTTACATGAGGAAATTCATCAAGCAAACAATTAGCGCAGACTTTGAGTTTTCAGGCCAATGACTGCTTCACATCCACTTCAGGGAGTACCAAAACCTCCATCCAGCTTTAAAGCCAGGTCATACCACTTGACTTTGGTTCGAAGTATCCTCAGGATTTGGTGATGGTGCCAAGCTCTGTCCCACAGAACAACAGTCTGGTTGGAAGGGTGGAAGCAGGAGCTCTATTGCGTCAGCTCTCGGTCTGGTTTCATGCTGAAGGGCTCCAGCCTCCCTCTGAGGCAGCATGCTGCAGAGCCTTTCCATCAGGGGTACACTCTGTATGCAACGCACGATGGCAGACATCTCACTGACCTTCTGGGTCAGCTCTGCATATTTGGCCTATCTTTTCTGACCCATCTCTTTGATTCGCTTAGCCAAAGCATTCTGATCAAAAGCAATGGCCTCTGTACACTGATGCAGGTGATCCTGATATGGAGGCAGAGCTGCAACACCTGCTGAGAACCCAATTTCTCCAATTTGGTATTTGTTGAGGAGGTCTGGCCACTCAACAAACCCTTTCAAAGCTGCTGGAAGGTTGGAATCTCTTACAACTTGATGACATCAGGGTCGTTGCTGTCATCCTGACATCTGGGAGCCCTGAGCTACAATCACTACATCATCCATCTTGGCTCTATGCTTAGCTGGAGACGGGGTCATAGTTCTAAAGCTGGCACACTCCTTCCGGGATGCAGATAGGCTTATAATATTCTCTTAGGAATGATCAAACAGCATGAACTCTATGTAGTCTTCCTAAACTAAACTCAGGAGCTGAATAAATGCTATTGAGCCCAATTATCAAAAGAGAGTCATTATACCAATTCTTGCTTTTATACCAATTCAATGCTAACACCTTCAAATCATGTATCTCAGTGTCTAAGCAGTGTTCTATCTCATAAAATAATCAAGTCTGCTTTTAAAACAGTTTATAAAGAATCCTTACCTGTATATACATCCCATATTTTGATACGCCCATTGTTTAACCCTGTGGCGAGGAGTAGCTGATCTTGTCCAAATTTGAATCGATGCCATTCTATATTTACACAGCGACTCTGTTTTTCTGGAATGGAAGAGCCAAAAGCAAGACTCCAAACTATGTCTCCACAGTCTATAGTATGTTCACCAGGTTTTGTTTTCTGGCCACCATCACTATTTTGTCTTGACAATCTTAAACTGCTTGAATTAGTGACATTCTTGGTGCCATGCAGGAGACTGGGGAACGGAAAAAGATGCAAATTGAGTTATTATTTACTCTAGACTCCTGTTAGTGATGAAAAATTGGTCAACTATATACAAGCAGATACAAAGTACAAATAAGAAAAGAATCTTACAAGTTCTTGAGGCACTGGGACCACGGAACAAGCTTTACTGTACGATGCCCTTGTGACCAAGCAAAATATGAACCATCTGGAGCAAAAGCAACAGTCCAATTCTCACGACCACATTTCTTGTCAAAAGGAGCTGCTGGAGCTAAAAGTTCACCTATAGTACGTGATCTCACTAAAGAGAGAGAGAGAAAAACATATAGATATCATACATAACAAATAATGATTTTTTTAGATTATCTCCATCTTACTTTGGAACTCACTCCTGCTGAGTTTTTTCTTTTTCTGTGCTGACAGGGTATATACAGTTTTGCTTTCTACTCTCTTAGGGAAAGACTGTGATGTGAAGATGCCTTACTGATAGCGACTGTCTTTAAATTTGGGCAAAAACACTATTCCTAAAATTTCCAGATTCACATGTTTTACGAAACTGAAGTAACAAAACTGCTCAAGGAAGAGTGATGTAATGACCAATTAGAGCTACCAATTTTCTGAAGTCTTACTTGTACATGACCCAGTTTTCATCAAATTACTAACATTTAAAATTCAAGAGACTAAAGCTAATTTGTTAAAATGCAAAAAAAACCCGCAAAACTTCCAAATTAAGATTTTTGCCTTTCATAAGCCACTATAAAATAATCTATTCAAGCAGGAATATCTTTTTAAGATCTAAATCACAAAACGCTCAGAACCAAAAGGGACATAGGCTTAGTCCAACCGATACTTTAAAACAAATTACATTTTATGATTCTTAAATAGTAGTCCTTATGGTTATGGATTACAAACTGACCCCAAAACAGAAGTACAGTAATTCTTAACGGAACAAAAAAAAGTAATTTCATACATTTAAAATTCATGTAGGATTAAAATTAGCATTCATAACAAAAAATGGCATGTTGTTAATTAAGAGTATACAAAAAACATTACTTCCATATTTAACAAGTATGATCAACCATCTCTTATTGCATCCATGCAGAGTCAGCTGGAAGTTCCATTTTGGAAAAGGAATCTCTTTCATCAGCATATCACTAAAGGAGTCCTGGTGTAGTACTGTAGGATAAGTACTGGACTGCAAGGTCAGTATGAACCTCACAGTTGATGGTTCAAACTCACCAGCTGCTCCTTGGAAACCCTATACAGGCTTGTTGTGAGTCAGAACCAACTCACAGCACTCAACAACAATGTTGTCTTAGGTTGGTCTTGAGTTCTAATTTTGCTATTCTTTTCAGTTATAAATTATTATTGTCAGTTTAGCTTCCCTCTTACTAATTTTGTGGCTGGTTGTCTGGTCAACTCTACAGGACACAATTATACACAGATATATTTCTGGCCTCAACTTTTCAACAACTAAATGCTGAAGCAGATATGTATACAATTCCCCCAAATAGAATCACTTGGTGGCATTTCCACAGTCTGTGTGCTATGTCAACAGTTAGTGAAGCACCTGGCATTGCAGGTGATCGATCAATAAGTACTGACTAAATATGAAAGCACATGTTCCCCATCCAACTCTGATACAATAACAAGTGCACTATGACTTTAATGAAAAGACTGTGAGACCCATATGAGATTTTAATGACTCATATAATCTTCCCCCAAGTCACTCCACCCACTCCCCCAGTCCTGACCTAAAAAAAAAGTAAGCCTAATTCTGCTCTCACGTGACATTCATACATTGAAGACAGCCAGGCTACTCTTAATCTCTAACCTTTTAATCATTCAAGCTACACAATTCAAAGTCCACTCCCCATCTCCACCTTCATCACACTTTTCTGGGTAAACTCAGGCTTACCTGTCAATGGCCCTCATTGTCACATTTGATTTAATCAAGTAGTGGATTCTACACAGACCCTTGTGTTATTAACTTTACTGTTAGTCAGTCACATGCCTTTCCTAAAATAAAAATCACAAACTGCTGACTTCTGATACTTCAAAATGTTTTTGTTTTTTTTTTAAATATACACAGGATTTCAAGGAGCTCTGACAGTGTAGTGAGTTACAAGTCAGGCTGCTAACCACTAGGTCAGCAGTTCAAAACTACCAGCTGTTCCCATGAAGATTCACAGCCTTGGACATCCTTGGAGTTGCTATGAGTCTGAAGTGACTCCACAGCACATAACCACACAAGGACCATCACCACCAGCTCCGCTTTCTTTTCTTTTCTTTTTTTTTTTTTAGTGATGCTGGTTTTTAACTACGGAGTCCTGGTGTGGCACTGTGGGTTAATGTGCCAGACTGCAAAGCCATTTGAACTGCATGCTCAGTAGTTCAAGTTCACCAGCAGCTCCTCAGAAACCCTATACAGGGTCACTGTGGGTCAGAACCTACTCGATGGCACTTAACAACAACAGTTTTTACCTGGAGTCTTGGTATGGCGCTGTAGGGTAAAGCACCGGACCACAAAATCGGTTTGAAGGCCAAGGTCAGGGATTCAAACTTTCAAACTCACTAGAAGCTCCTCAGAAATGTTGTCAGAATTGACTTGACAGCATTTAACAATAAACAACAAGTTATTAACTAGGAGCTCTGGTGTAGAGTTGTAGAATAAACACTGAATTTCTAACTGCAAGGTCGACAGTTCAAACCCACCAGTTGCTCCATGGGAGGAAGATTATCTTAAAAAGAGAAAGCCCCTGGTTAAACTAACATACCTAAATCCCAGCTTATATATGTCCAATTTACAGACAATAAATTATCAGATAAACTTGTACTGGAGGAGGGGAGGGGAGACTGCAAAAAAAAAGCATCTTTTCATTCATTTTTCCATAAAGTTTTTTGAAGCTCCTCATAATTGCCCTTGGAGTTCTGGTGAGATGCTGTGAGATAAGCACTGGACTGCTAACCAAAAGGTGGGCAGTTCAAGCCTACCAGCTGCTCCTCACTCCTTGGAAGTCCCATATAGGGTCTCTATGGAGTTGGAAGGAGTCCTGGCGACACTTGGGGTTAATATAGTGGACTGCAAAGTCGGTGTGAACCACAAGGTCAGTGGTTCAAGCTCACCAGCCGCTTCTCAGAAACCCTATACAGGGTTGCTATGGGTGACACCTATAACACCACTCAATAACAACAACAAAGACATGCTCTTTGTTGTTATTGTTATGTGCCGTGGAGTCGGTTCCAACTCATAGTGACCCTGTACAGGGTTTCCGAGGCTGTAAATCTTTACGGGAGCAGAAAGCCTCATCTTTCTCCCGCGGAACAGCTGGTAGTTTTGAACTGCTGACCCTGAGGTTAACCACTACGCTACCACATGCTCTTTAATGTCATATAAATTAATCATCAAGTTCAAACTACTGAGCCCCCTCCCGGGAACAAATTCTTCATCACAATCACCTTCCCTTGCTGCAATCTGAAGAGCACTGAAAAGGCCTAGAACCTTTTTCTTGCACTAAAAACCCTCTCCTCAACAGGACAGAGCAGAACGACTCCAACGGTTTTGTGAGACTGTCATCTTTTAAATCTTTGGGGAATAGACAGCCTCATCTTTTGCCTGGTGAGTTTGAACAGTCAACCTTGTGGTACGCAGGCCAATGCTTATTAACTCACTTCATCACCTGGCTCCTGTTCTTGCACTAAACCCACTATCATCCAGTAGATTCTGACTCATAGCAACCCTAAACAGGCTTTCTGAGACTGTAAATCTATGTGGGAGCAGACAGCCTCATCTTCTTCCCAGAAAGCAGCTGGTGAGTTTGAACTGCTGACCTTGCGGTTAGCAGCACAACATCTAACAAACAGCACATCTAGGGCTCCATTTTCTTATGCTAAAGTAAGGCTAAATAAGACCTATAGGTACCTGCTCCAGCTTACCTACAAATCTGACTTAAAGACAGCCTAAGAACAGATCTCATTTGTAACCTCAGGGGACTGTCTGTATACTGCCTTTCTATCTCAAAAAAATAAAGGATTAGTTTTTGCATTGAACTTCAAAATGAGTTGGAAAATTAAATTCAAATTCTACTCTTTTCTAGCAAGCTTCAGAGCAAGATTCCCACAGAGAAGACTCCTTTCTTATTTTAGGATCACTTTTTCCTTCTTTTACTGTTGCCACAATCACAAAACCCCTCTTGTATAACACTGCCACCAGAACTCAAAACAATATAGTGTTACAAAGTTTTAGCAAAATGCCTTGACAGTGTTTCCTTAGTTAACAGGCACATCTGAAAGCTGCTGAACTTAAATACTTACTGATACAATTATTTTAAAACGTAGCACAAAGTTTAAGGATAAAGTAATTTGGAGGAGGGGGAACCTTTATTGTATTACCTGTAACTGTTTAATGTGAGTATCCTAGAAAATTTAGGATTAAATGACCTAAATTTAATATGGTACAGGCTGCTGCCTGCCTGAGAAATCGGTCATAAGACACAATACTCCATTATTAATACCTGCACAGTAGTAATACATCATGAGTCACTTTGTTCACTGCTGAACAAAGCAAACCAGATTTAGCGCCTTCTTCACATTCCTCCCTCCAATTTCATAACCCAAAAGATGGCAGTGCCTTGTGAAAGAGGGCAGTAAACGTTAGCACAGATTTCTTTAATCATTCATGGATCCTGTCTTTGCTATTTTAGTAAGTACTTGAGAAGTTAAATCTAATGTCAGTCTTTAAGTATTTAAACCTTGTGTATTTTAAACATTTTTTTTTAAAGTAACTAAAACTGAGCTTTTAAAAATGCTTAGAAAAGGCCAAAGTCCCTTTAGATATTTAGCACTAAAACAGTTAACTTTTAATGTGATACTATATATCCAGAGGGCTAAATATAGACGGGGGGGAGGGGGGGAGGAAATAATAAAAATAAAGGGCTACTTTGTGAATGAAATTTCTTTCTTAGAAAGGTATGCTAGGCAGCTCTATTCATTCCTTAAAATGACTGTATGTTTTCAAAATCATTCATCAAGATAAAGGCAAACAGAGAAAAAACCCACTGATTAGAAAATATGAACCTCTGAGTTTTATGTCTCACTCCAGTATATATACTTGCTGACATAAATTGCTAAAATAAAAACTGGATTACCTATTTTTGTGTGTAATTTGCAACTTTAAAATAGTTATTAAAACCAGGGTTGAAGTTATCTTCTAGTCAGCCATTCAATTTTAAGGATAAAAGAAAAGCCCAGAATTCTAATACAGCTGTTTAAAAATTTAAAGCAGCACCCACCCACAGGATAAAGGGTGTTTAGGCTACTTCCGCTTCTTCCCTTCTCTAGAAATACGGCCTCCATGGACGTTAGAGAAGACATTCATTTACATCAGGGGAGGAGGGAAAACCCAGACAGTTCAAGGGCCACCACACATTGTTAATTACCACAGTAAGGTCAGTGTCACTGAGCCGATCAAGCCGTCATCTCCTCCCCTCCCTAGAAGTTGTTCCAGTTATTTTATCTAAAGTGAGGGGTTCCCACATGTGAGCTCTGGGGTTAGTCGTGAGTGGTCTTGAAGCCAGTATTTAAGACTGCCTGTTCTTCTTCATACAACAGCTTTCCTAGGGTCCCCCCCACCCAACCATCATGCTCCTCCCATGTGTATTGGAGAGATAATTCTGCGTCTTCTCCCTCCAACCGCTTGCCTTTCCGCAAGGTCGGCGGTTCAAACCCACCAGCCGCTCCTCGGAAACCCTCAAACAGGGCCGCTATGAGTCGGAACCGACTCCACAGCACATTAACAACTGTGTTTTGTTTTTGTTTTTTCAAATTCATTGCTTTTTAAATAGCTGTTGGCACCTCATTGAAGAGTGGTTGGGTGTATGAAGGCCCCCTGTTTTCAGTTACAGCTCACAAGTTGAGTTTTCCCATCACAGTCTCTAGGACTCGGCCCAGTAACCCCCGGGCATAGCCCCTTCTCGCCCCGCTTCAACCTCCACCCCCACCGGCCCATTCGCAGTCCCTGTCGCCGCGCCAAGGGAATCACAGGATACGGTCCCGCACGGATCTCAAGAGGAGCACGCTGGGGTCCCCAGGAGCCAGTGTCCGCCCCCGACCACCCGGGTCCTGGGAGGCCGACGCAGGGCCGGGTCCCGGACTCACCCGCACCATCTCCCAGGTCCCCTTCTGCGATCCGCGCCTCCGCCTCGCCAGTGGCCGGCGCAGTTGGCTCCCCATTCGTATGAATCAGTTACGGTTCAGTAGACACGTCCGTCCTCTTCCCTTAAAGGCTTGCCCCAGCTTACTCTGCTGCCCGAGCCTTCTCCCGAGGGTCCCATCCACCCCTAAGACCCCGCGCGCTCACCCCTCACCCACCAGTCCTCCGGAGAGCCCGTCCCACTCCTCACCGATCTCTTTCTCGTTGACCCTCGGGGGAAAGCTGGCCATCTATGGGGTACCGTCTGATTCCGGGAACACGATGCGGCGCAACGATAGAGAAAGGAACAACTAGAGCTGAGGGGCGTGACACCGGCTCGGTCCCTCCCGATCCCGAGGGCAGAGGGGAGGGGTGAGGGCGGTCGCTGGAGCTTCTGCCGACTGCCCCGGGAAAGCTCCGAAAGGTCTCGGACCAAACTACAGAGGCAGACACAGACAATAGACCCCGGGTCCCTGCTTCACAACTAAAGACCAAGCTAGATCCTCAAGCTGTGGACTGCAAACGTGACACTGGAGACAAAATGGCGGGCGGCACGAGTGCTATCCGGGCGGCTGGGGCGGGGCCTAGTGATGTTAGTGCCTGAGGCCCCGCCTCCGGACGCACGGGACGTGACGGCCTTCTCCTGGTGCTCTGCCGCCAACTGAACCCGGGCGTGGTCCGAAGGGACCCGTAGGGGAGAGACTAGGAGGAGCTGGCAGGCTGGCGGCGGAGGAACTGTAGCCGAGCTGAGCCAAGGCCAGACGGCCGAGTAACCAACTGCCTGTGCATTTAACCTGGTTTCGTTTTCCCGGGCCACGGGCACTATATACATACGTGTGGTGTGTGTGTGTGTATATAGATATAGATATAGATATATAGATATAGATATATAGATATAGATATATATAGGAGCTCTGGTAG